GTGACTTTTCTTTGTCACTTTATTCTACAGCATAGTAATATAAGTTCTCATTAATTTAAAAGGCACACAATTTGAAAATAAACTAATGATGGGGCTAGATTTAACTTGAAGCAAATAAGTAAGAAAATGAATTCTGAACACATATAATGTTAGGCAGCTGTGCAGCCTAATTCATTGGTATTATAATCACAAATAATTTCTACTTATTAGGCAAAATGTATAAAGTAAAGCAATTGAACCATGTGGGAAACCTAGGTACAGTGTGATTCCAACAATGGGACTGGGGGAAAGGTTGAATGTTAAAATTTATCCTTTTAATGTTTTACTGACACCGAAAGTATTTGCCTTAATTAACTAGAACTGAGTTTTCACTATAGCAATTATTAAGATTAAAATTATAATAAAACAACCAATATAAAATTGCATGTAGTGCAAAATGTTTTGTTATAGGTACCTCTATTTTTTTTTCTTTGTACTTTTAATTACCTTTCCTCTTGCAAGCAGTAGTAAGCAATAAGAATATTCAGTATTTACTGTACTTTGGGAAGAGATAACACCACAGCAATAGCAGGTGATACAAGTTCTTGATTTTTGAAGCTAAAAAACCAAGGACCAGGCATAAGACAATATAATCTAGAAGGACATACGACCAGCCCAAGCCTGTTTTTTACTGTCCCTGAGACTAAACGTTTTCTAAATCAAGAGTGAAGAAGGGAGAGGAAAAATATGGGGATTACATGTTGGTCAGCAACATACTGTGTCTTGACCCCCATCTTTGGACAGACCGCAGAGCTGGTGATATAGAAGGTGATACAAACCTTGGATAGATTGGGCTCTTGGTTTCATCTCCCGATGCATGCCAGGGTAAGGGCAAGCTTTGCAGCAGTCCTTTAAGTTCAGCCAAGCAGGAGAATCACAGAAGAAATGGCTGTGGAGTATTTCTCAGGTAGCCTTAGGCAGCCTCCAGAGTCACCGTGCAATCCAGGGTAGTGGGAAGAGTAGCAAAATGTGGTCATGAGTGGCACAGATATGGTATTGGCAACAAGTAAAAACAAGGAAAGATGCAAATGTGATGTGTATGGACCAGTTTTAAGTTATTATGGAAGAAGAAGGATCAGATATATGTTCCTTGTCTAATGCAAGGAGGCTACCTGTTGATAAAAGCGCTGGTTCTGTACATTTTCCAGGGAAGCCAGGTCAGTTTTGTATCTCTCTTATTAATCCCCTACCACCAACAGCACCCTCCCTCAATGTCCCAGAACCTAAGGAGAGTTAACCAAAGGGACCTCAAGATTCCAGACACACAAGGACCCTGAGGGTTTCAGAAATATATTTATGGCTGAATGAAAAGTGGAGAGCTTACACACCTTATTTTCTGCTATAGGGAATGTTACAAACTAACACACTGAAAAAATAAAATTAAATTAAAAATGAGCTTTTACATGATAAGTCGCAACATACTGGCACATTTGATCAAGTGAGTTATTTATACCAGTGAGGAGTAGGTGGATGACAAATATAATTGTAAATATGTTTGTGTGAACATGAGCAAGACAAATACTGCTGATGACACATATACACAGACACACACACACACACACACACACACACACACTAATATATGTATATACATATATATATATATATGTATGAAGCATATATATCTCAGATATATATGCGGGATATTGTGAAGGAATTAATTTTACTTTATTGAATCTATTCATCATGAAAAAATAAGTCTAGTCCCTTTAAAGTAGTTCACAAAAACTGAGACCAATATAAAGATGCTATTGCCAATTTCCTTAAAAATATTAGTTACAGTAACTTAGAAATAAATTGAGTTATAAATCATAGAAGTTTGGCCCCCCAGACCAGAAAGCAAAGACTTAGGCCCATTGCAAGTCATATGCAATGATATGGTGCTTAGAATGCTTTATTTGGTGCCTGAAAATGAGCTAGAATAGTTTTTTAAATAAATAAAAGAACATGAAAATAGTCTAAAAAATTGAGGTGAAAAAATTTATATTGATGACAAGAACCTCAATTATATAAAGGAATATTAAATTTAAATTAAATTTCACATGCATGTATAGCATAGCACTATAGGATATTGATGTAGCTACTTATGGAGCTTGAGACTGGTAGAGGCAGGGAAAATTAATGAAGAGTTGCAAACAGTATGCTAAAAGTCATAAAAAATGTACTCTAGAAGAAAAAGAGGGAGGAATAACAATCGTATGTGATTGTTCAGAAGTTTACCCTATAACTCATGCATTATTGAACTAGAGGGAGACCAATGGTTGGCACAGGTAGGGCAATAGGAGTCGATTATAATTGTCCATGTGAGAGACTTTGGTAGCCGTGGTGGAGGTAAGAGAGTAGATGTGAGAACAAGCCAGAAAGTGGCAATGACTGAACCTGATAATTGGTTTAACCTGAAATGGAGGAAGAATCCAAGAAATTTCCCAGAATTTTGGCATGGGCCATAGTGTGGAGAAGATGGTAAGGTTTTATTTAGAGATGTTGAGTAGAAGTCTACAGGATTTCCAGCAGAGCTGTCCAGGTGGCAGTCATCTGTATGGGTCTGGAATTCAGCTTTGCCTTTTGGCCAGTGGGTAGTAATTTGGGGCATTTTATAGTTCAGAGTTGGAATGTGAATTTAATTAACTTTTATTCTGTGGGCTAAACATAGACTAAGTGTAGCCCAGGAATTAAGAACCTGTGAGGAAACCCAGAGCACCTGGGTTCTAGAGTTCTAGACCTAGCCCCAACATTTACTAGCTGTGTGACTGAAGGAATATTTTTGAATCTCTCTGTGGATTATTTTTGTCATCCATAAAATGAGGATTACCCACAACACTGCATAGCTATTGAATTCACATAAAATCCTAATGCTTATTATTAGCTACTGATGTTAGTTTGAAAAACATGAAATTGCCATTTTGAAAGTCAGAGACAATAAAAACATTAGCAATTTCATATTATTTAATTTTACATCTTTCAAAGCATGAATCTAGTTGCATTTTTCTGATATAAACAGGTGCCACAAAAATTATCTGGGAATATGATTGACTTAATGGTGCAATTCTTGAAAGAAGATTTAAAACTTATGTTTGACTATCCTTGTAACTTCCAAAATTTTTTCAATGATGGAAGCAGAATGCTATTTATTTTTTACTAAGAAATAGCAACAGCAACAAACCTTGACAATCATTTTTGAAATATGTGCTTTATTTAAACACAGTTGTACAGTGAAGATAATTAGTATCAGTACCTTTGGAAAAGATTCAGAAATGCTGTTTCTGGGGGTGAAAAAGCTCACTTTATCAGCTAATCTCTGGGACTTAGCTAAATAATTATGGAATCACAATCCAAGTCTTTATTCGCCCACTTACCATCTGCTTCTTTGAGGCTATATTCTAAGTAATTGAATCAAGAGATAAAAAATATGAACCCAACATAGAAAGATAAAGCTGATTTGAAATAGTATACATTGCAATATTTTTACATTCAAGGGCAAAAGTAAATTTATATGCTAGTAGTATTTCTATAAACCTGAATATTTTGATGGAGTTGTAACTGTAAATCCATTATATAATAAAATACTGAGATTTGAGGTTCTGTTCAGAGAAGAGATCATATACATTTCAAAATCTAAATTAGGTAGCTAATCCAAATTTTGTCTGTGTCATCAGATGAATGTGGAGTTGGAGTTCCAGCACATATGGCCAACAAATTCAGATGTGTGTTTAAAATATCACAGAAAAGACCTGTGTGGGCAGGCACTTTAGTGGATTTTAAGAAATGAGGATTGCAAAGTATTTGTATACAACATGAAAAGCAAATTTAGAATATATGTATAATACTTAACAGATATTTGACTTCTGAAAAGGAATCAGAGATAAATGTTGCTTAGCAGTGAATTTAACAAGAGAACATTTAGGATAAACCAAGTAACATTTTCCTGTTGACCCATATTTTTAAGATTTGCTATTCTGATCCCCCTTATTCTTTATTTCTTCTGAACAATCTTTAAAGAATTCTTCTTTTCCTTTAAAATGAAGGCAGTTTTCTTTGTATTTGTCATGTGACTTGGAATTTACTTTTTATAATTTGTTTGTATTAAATTATCCAGTTTTCTTTTTTTTAAATCAAAATACAAAAATCTATTATTAAAATTTTAAGTGCCGAACCCAAAAGAACACTCTTGTTTATAAGAGGAAAAAATTTATTTTTTCTGTCTGTACTAATGCCAGGTAAAGTATAAAAATTTCCATTGCAAAATAATTCTAGGAATTTTGATGTGGGAGTTTTAATTGTGGTTATTTCACTTACATAGCAAGATTGTTTGTTATATGTACTTATGGATTTTTTTGTATTATGAATACTCATTATATATTTTTCAAAATATAAGTGTTTTAAAATACCACTAGTCTTTAATAGCTACTTCTCTTATTTAACTGGGTAAAGTCTAATGACTGATAAGACATGCTTTTTATTTTCTTCTCTCTTAAAAAGAAAGAAAGGAATTCTACAAAAACTCTACAGCAAATATCATACTTAATGGAGAAGCTTTTGATTCATTTCTATTGTAGTTAAAAACAGGAGGGGGGCTGCTATGAACACTGTTATTTAATATTTATCCATTTACCCATTAGAGTTAGTTTCATCATCTGCACATACAGAAAAATCTTAAATAACAATACCTGAAAAAATACAGAGTTTCTTTAGAGAGAGAGAGGGAGAGACATGGATTGGTTGGTTCGTTGGTTGATTGATTCTAGATGCATACGATAATCAGGAATGGCAGCTTCATAGTTATGGAGGACCCAGACTCCAATCTTGTTGCTCCACCAGTTCTGCATGTTGCCTTGTAATCAAAGGTTATTGTGCAAGTCTCAGCCATTGCATTTTCATTCCAGGCAGCAAGAAGGAAAGATGAAGATCCTTCCCGAAAGTCCTACACATGCTTTGCTTAAGTTTCATTGGCCAGAATAAAGTCACATGGTCACGTCTAGTTGCAAAATTACCTGGAAAATGTAGTCTTTTAGAAGAGTGGCAGTGTGCCCAGCTAAAAATGTCATTTGGGTTAATGACAAGATATCTCCATTGATAGACAAATGGATAAAGAAAATATGGCACATATATATATATAATGGAATATTACTCAGCCATGAAAGAGATTAAAATCCTGCCATTTATGGCAACATCTTAGGTCCTCTAGGATGGACCTACAGGGTATTATGTTAAGTGAAGTTAGGCAGAGAACGATAAATATTATATCTTTTTACATTTATGTGGAATCTAAAAAAAAGAAAAAATGGAAACAAACTCATAGATATAGAAAACAAATTGATGGTTGCCAGATAGGAGGGGGATGGGAGGATAGATTAAAAGGTGAAGGGATTAAGAAGTACAAATTGCCAGTTATAAAAATAGTCACAAGGATAGCATAGCATAGCATAGGGAATACAATCAATAATATTATAATATCTATGGTATCAGATGGGTACTAGATTTATTGGCATGATCACTTCGCAAGTTATACAAATGTCTAATCACTCTGTTGTACACCTAAAACTAATATAATATTATATATCAATCATAATTTTAAAAAAATTTAAAGATATCTCTGCTAGAGAAAGGGAAAAAAAATTCCATTTCTTCCAGATGTTATGATAGTCTGTATAGAGAACTGTAGAGGCACTCTGATATACACTTTTAAAACATTGTCAGAGGAAAAGGACAAAGAACATATGATTTCACTCATATGTAGGATTTAAAACAAAAAGCAGCAAACAAACTAACAAAACCTCGTAAATACAGACCACAGAATGGTGGTTACCAGAGGGGAAGGAGGGTGAGGGGAGGACAAAGAAAGAGAAGGAGGCCAAATATGTGCTGACAGAAGTAGACTAGACAATAGAGTATATAGATGTTGTATAATGTCATAAACTTGTATACCTGAAACTCGTACACCATATTATTGATATAATGTCATTAACAATATTATTCCAATAAATCTAATAATTAAAAAAAAAGTAAGATGAGACTTCATCAAGCTTGCTATATACAGGATCAATATAGGATCAATTCCTATATAAGCAATTAGAAGATTAGAACAAAGATACTGTTCATGAAGGCAATTAGACTATAATACATCTAGAAATAACTATTGATATGTAATAATTTTATGAAAAATTATAAAAAATATTGAAGGATAAAAAATAGTCTAAAAATGGTGATAAGTCATTTTCATGAATAAAAACTTCACCTTTATGAATAAGTCTTTTCCCACTAACTTTATGTACAAATTTGAAACATTCAATAAAGTTCTCAACAATGTTTCCAGTGTTTTATGAAAATTGATGAATAGATTTATAAAATTAATTTAGGAGAATGAATGACAAAAAATATCTAAGAAAAAGTTGAAGGAGAAAATAAAGAGTGGGATTTGTTTATCAGATATCTATTATATTAAAAACTTGTATAAGGTACACAATAAATTAGTGGCTAGTAGCCCCGAAACAGCCCTTTACACATATTTAATCTTGCTGTATAAAAGGCTAATGTCAGTTAACAGTTGATGCTGGGGCAAATGATTATCCAGAACAGAAAAAGTAAAACTACATCAGTACCACACTATGCACATAAACAATTACAGATGGATTTTAAATATAAAATTAAAATCAAACCCTAAAGTTTTGGAATAAAACTTAGGAGGTTGTATTTAGTATATTAGGATATAGAAGGATTTACTAAATCATGCACTTGTGCACACACACACACAGTATTAACCAGGAAGGAAAAAAAATTGGACTACACTGGTTTTAATAGTTAAATAGAGAAAAAATCACTTAAAAGATAAGCAATAGAGTAGAAGACACTTATTTATAAGTCACAGAACAAGTTTTCATAATAAAGAACTACAAATCTATAAGAAAGTGAATATCACCCTAATAGAAAAATGGATTTGAACAGTTTGTAAACAGTTGCCAAAGGGGATTTTATGAAAGCATGCTTTCTCTCACTACTAATAAAGAGAGGGCAAATTAAACAGCATATTAGCATTTCAAAACCCATTAGAATTTGGCCAAAATTTAAATTTTTTTCTGATTGTTGGTAAGGCTACAAGGAAAAAGGGAGATTTATATACTACTTTTGAAAGTGAAGATTTGTGCAAACATTTTGGATGGTACTCTGACAATAGCTAATAAAGATGAAAATGAGCTTATTCCATAACCGACTTCTATATATATATTCTGGAGATAAATCCATATCTAAATATATACTTTAGAGATAATCTCATATGTGTGCACATGAAAATATGTGAAATGATATTTATTGAAGAGTTAATATCAAAAAAGTGGAAGCATACTAATGTCTATCATTGGAAAACTAGACAAAAAATTATTGTATATTCCATGTTTATAAAATCAAACAGTAATTGTCAAAATGAAATGGATTTAACATGTAACATGATTAAATTTCAAAAACATTATTAATCGAAAATAAGTGGCAGTGTACATAGTACATAAATATACTATTTATAAATAAATATAAATAAATTGTATTATATTTATTAAAATTATAAAAACACAGAAAAATGCTATTCAGTCTTTAAAGATACATCCCTAGTAAAATTATGGAGAATTTTAAAGTTATACAGACCTAGGTTTAAATTCTCACCTCTTCTACGTATTTATGTGACCTTGGATAATTTACTTAATCTCTTCCATACTAGTCTTCTCATTTGTAAAATGGACTGGTAGCCTGTAGTTAGATGAAATTACATGATGCATGTGAAATGCTTAGCACAGTTGCTTGCTGCAGAGCAAAACTGAATGCACAGTAGCTATTATCATTACTGCCTGTGATGCATCCATTTAGGATCACTATAGCACCTAGGAATGCTCTAGATTAGATCCGAATTCAAAATGGTTTTCCATGAGACTTTTTCAACCCATTTCAGAATACTTCAAGCAGAGGCAAAAAGGGTACAATTGTTTGAACATACAAACCCAAGGAAATAAGAATTAACTAAAAACCATATTTCAATATATCAGATGATTAGATTACATGCATAGTTACTCCCCTGCAAAAATACATTTTTGGAAGGAATTTAGCCATTTAATTTGGAGTAAGAAAGAAAGATGGGAAAATTTGTTTCCATTGCTAAGGATGCGAAAGGCTCATTCTCCGAATACAGTCACACTGTGCATTAGGGCTTCAATGTATGAATTTTTATTTGGGAGAGGGAACAATTCAATACCTAACATTATAAACTAAATGAGTCAGGGACTGTGTCTGTTTTTGCACCCCGGTATATGCCTGGTATCTTGCATACCATTGCTAAACAAATCCTATCAGCCCCATTTCGAAGTTGAGAAAACAGATTCAGAGTGGTTAATGAACTTGCTAAAGGTCAAGCAGCTACTAAGAGCTGGAATCAAACTCAAGCCTGTTTGATTCTAGAAATTCCAAAATAAGCAACTTCAAGAAGTAGAATTCAGCTCTGTCTCCTACCACAAACCTTTCATCTATAACAAGGTCATCAAGTACAGCATCGATTTAAAACTGTCCCTGATATTTGCTAAACTGAATAAATCTAAAGGTAAGATTAGTTCAGTAAAATTTCATGAGGGTTAAAAACATCAAGTCTGTGAGAAATGACAGGTATTTTTCAAATGGTTTGGCAAGAAACTGTAAAAATCTAGAGACTGTTCAAAAGAAACGGTGATTAATAGGAAATTCTTTTTAAAAAAATATAGTGGAAAGAGGCCAGGATGAAAGTGCAAATGTGAAGTCGCCTGTAGGGCTCAGCGAGCCAAGAACATCCAGGCTGGAGGCTGGATCAGTGTTGTAGCTTGCAAAGCAAATGCAGTGGTTTCTGTTGGATGAAAGCTCAGGCGCAGACAGGAGAAGGCAACAGAACGTCTAGGGAAATGTAGTGAATCGAATCCTGACTTGCTTCTGCAGATCACAGACCTGCAGTTGTACTCCCCAATGATTTCTCTGCCCTTGTAAGGAGGCTTGAGGCATTCCATAGACCGCTCCAAACCCAACAAGGCAAAGTCGAGCTCACCAGGCTGAGAGCCCCTCTGCAGTGAGACCCATACCACTTCTTTTATTTCTCTAAAGCCTGGTTCAATGCCAGCCATCTAGTAAGTGCTCCACAAATGACTGACTGAGTGAATAAATAGGCCTCTAATCTAATTGGTTATTTCATCCTCCAAACTTGCAGACCGTTTATTGTTCTGTGCAACCATGGATCAGTCAGAGGCCTTACCATCTTATGTAGCCGGACCACTCAGAGTCTTCCTTAACTCGTTACTCTTTTTCACACACCACGGCCAATTTCTTATATCTGTTAAGATCTAATTAAATCTTTCCTCTACTTTTGATCCCAGCTACTTTAGACAGTTTTTCCCCAAACTGTGATTGTGATATATGATTGTCCAGCTTCTGTTCTCTCTAAACTCATTCATTCTCCACACTGACAGGAATATTTTTTAATAAAAATCCCCAATAGCATCCAATGTCTATCAGATAAAATTCTTATTTCCAGCAAAACTATGCTTCAGACACATTTGCATTTCTCTCAACGCAACATACATTTCCTGAAAGCTTTGCCTTTTCACATGCTGTTCCTGCTTCTTTACCAAACACACTCCATCCAGTCTTTAAAGCTCAAAAGTAACTCCTGTCAAGCCTTCTCCTAATTCTCCACACACAGCCCTTTCTTGTCTTCACAATCAGTTCATATATACTTTTTTTTTAGTGGTGATCACATTGTAAATTGGCCATTTTTTTCTGTCAGTTTTATTGAGATATAATCGACATATGGCACTGTATGTTTCAGGTACCAGCATAATGACTTATTGTAGAATGATTACCACAATAAATTTAGTTAACATCCACCATCTCATATAAACACAAAAAGGAAAATTTTTTTTTCTTATGATGAGAACTTTTAGGACTTACTCTCTTAGCAGCTTTCAAATATACCATACAGCAGCGAAAACTATAGTCACCATGTTATATATAATATCCCAAGCACTTTTTCACCTTATAACTGGAAGTTTGCACTTTTTGACCACCTTCATGAAATACCCCCACCTCCCACACCCCACCTCTGGTAACCACAAATCTATATTTTTCTATGAGATTTCCTTTTCTTTTGACTCCACATATAAGTAAGATCATACAGTATTTATCTTTCTCTGTCTGACTTATTTCACTTAGCATAATGCCCTCAACGTCCATCCATGTCATTGCAAATGGCAGAATTGTCTTCCTTTTTATGGCTGAATAGTATTCCATTATGTAGATGTGTATATATATATAGCGCATTATTTTTCTATGAGATTTCCTTTTCTTTTGACTCCACATATAAGTAAGATCATACAGTATTTATCTTTCTCTGTCTGACTTATTTCACTTAGCATAATGCCCTCAACGTCCATCCATGTCATTGCAAATGGCAGAATTGTCTTCCTTTTTATGGCTGAATAGTATTCCATTATGTAGATGTGTATATATATATAGCGCATATAAATTGGGCAACGAACATGATGGTGCAAATACCACTTTGACATAGTGATTTTACTTCCTTAGGATATATGCCCAGAAGTGGAATTGCTGGATCATATGGTAGTTCAATTTTAATTTTTTGAGGAACCTCCATACTGTCTTCCACGGTAGCTGTTCCAGTTTACAGTCCCACCAACAGTGCACAAGGGTCGGCTTTTCTCTACCAAGATTTGTTATCTCTTGTCATTTTGATAATAGCCATTTTAACAGGTGTGAGGTAATATCTCATTGTAGTTTTGATTAGTGCCATTGAACGCCTTTTCATCTACTCGTTGGATATTTGAATATCATCTTTATAAAAAATGTCTATTTATGTCCTTTGCCCTTTTTTATTAAATTGGATTGTTTGTTTTTTTGGTATTGAGTTGTATGAGTTCTTCATATATTTTGGATATTAATCTTTTATCAGATATATGATTTTCACACATTTTCTCCAGTTCTATAGATTTCCTTTACATTCTGTTGATTGTTGTGAAGTTTTTTAGTTTGATGCAGTCCCACTTGTTTATATTTGATTTTGTTTTTTTGTGCTTTAGGTGTCATATCAAAAAAAAATATCACCAAGACCCATGTCAATGAGATTTTTCCTCTTTTCTTCTAGAAGTTTTATGGTTTCAGGTCTTACTTAAGTCTTTAATCCATTTCAAGTTACTTTTTTGGGTGTGGTGTAAGATAGGGTTCTAGTTTCATTCTTTTACATGTGAATATCAAATTTTCCAAGTCCTATTTATTGAAGACTATCTTTTCTCCATTGAGTATTCTTGATTTCTTTGTCAATCATTAGTTGAGTGTATAAGCATGGGCTTATTTCTGGGCTCTTGATTCTGTTCCACTGGTCTATATGTCTTTTTTTATTTTTTTTATGCCAGTACCATGCTGATTTGATTACTATGGCTTTATAATATAGCTTGAAACAAGGAAGTGTGATACCACCAGCTTCCTTTCTTCTCAGGATTGCTTTGACTATTTAGAGTCTTTTGAGATTTCTTATAAATTTTAGAATTTTTTTTTTCTATTTCTGTAAAAAATGCCATTGGAATCTTGATAGAGATTACATTAAATCTATAGATGGTTTTGGGTAGTACGTACATTTTAACAATATTCTTCCAATCCACGAGTATGGGATAGCTTCCTATTTGTGTCTTTGATGTCTTTTGTCAATGTCTTGAAGTTTTCTTTTTCCCTTCACTGTGACTCCCTAATTTCTGTCTGTAGCTCTTGCAGTATGCCAAGTGGCCTCCTTGACATCTCCTTTCAATGTCTAATGGGCATCTCAAATTTAGCATATTTAAACTTATGTCCTGATCCCTTTCACCAACACAGCAACTCTCATAGTTTTTCCTATATGGGCATATGATACTCAGAGTCAACAAGTTTCTCAAAATAAACATCATAGATGTTACTTTTGATTCCACTTTTTCTGTCACATCTCATTTCAATCCATCAGTAAGCACTGTTGAGTCTACCTTAAAAATATATTCCAAGGTGAATGATCTTATAATACATCAGGTTATGTCATTCTCTGCACTAAATGTGCCCATGGCTTTTCATCAGGCATACAGCAATATCTAAAATCTTTGCCGTGCCCCTACATAATCTGGTTCCAGATGACTTCTCTAACCTCAGGGCCTTTCCAGTCCTTCCTTACTCACTCTGTTCTAGCACATTGGCCTTCTTGTTGGACTCAGGCATCCCAAGTGGATTCCTGCTTCAGGTCTAGAACTCTCCTTTCTTGTCTATTTTCCCATTGCTCACTCCTGAAATTCATTGAGATCTTGGTGGAGATGTCATATCCTCCGAAGGTCCTCCCTGTTAGCTACACCTACAATAGGAACCCCTTTGCCTCTTCACTGTCCCTTAAAGCTGCTTGGTTTTTTATCATTGCACTTTTCACTACCTGAAATTATGTTAACAGTATTTAGTTATTTGATTGCTTATTTATTGCTAACACCATTATTATTACGTAATAATGGTGTTGAAGTTAGGTAGTTTATCTTGTTCACTCTATATTCCCAGTTCTGGAATAGTGCCTAGAACATTACATAGTGATTGACTGAATAAACTCCTTGAGAACAGAGACTATTTTATTTATCTTTAAATTTCTCCACCAAGAGCTTTGAATATTTCTTGATACAAATTAGGTAGCCAAGGAATATCCATAAATGTGTTAAAATCAAGCCAGGAAGTGATTCATAACAACTTCTGAAGCTGTTTTCTTTTGTTTAAAGTCTTTAATCAGGCAAATTTTTATATCTTCTTAAGTGCCCAGCAACTCTGAATAGTCAGTGCTCCTGTTGCTAAGGGTCTCCTTGAGTAAAGTTCACTTTATTATTTTTTTAATCAATGTGCAAAAATGATGACATTCACTATCTTTTTTACTGTTTTGCAGTCATTTAGATAGATATACTGACCATGCAGAGAAGTATTCTGAGAGAATTGTTTCCTACATTTTATGTAAATCTGAGTTATAATAGAAAAATGAGGGGAAATGTGTTCTCTTGAAACACATTTTTAGGATTTCATCTAATTGGTAAGGCAAGGCACGTTTGTATCCCTGACTACACAGCATGCTTGCAAAAAGATGTTATTTAAAAAAAAAAAAAAAATTGAAATTCTCCAACATTAGCAGGGCTTCTACATACCTTTTTTGAGCCACATGTATATTTTTAACTTGATTTCCAGACAAAGAAATCTTCTTTCTAGGGATTTCTTAATATTCTAGAGACATAGGGGAGCTTGTGACAGCCCTGTGCCATCAAAAACACATCAGCACATTTAGATCATTATAAATTGTCTATCTTAACCAACTCTACAACCCCCTTTGTATTTCAGTTTTACTGCAATATTAAACAATGCAGAAATGACAATGCTAATTTTTCACATACCTCTTTCAAGTACTCCATTTTGTCAAATACATTATTCAGTAAGTTTTGCATATGGTTCATTAATCCTCAGTTGTATGCCTTTATTTTTTTCCCCCTTTAGAGGTAAAAATATGGTGTACTGTATTTCTAAATAAATTCCCTTTTTGGCTATTCATTGTGCCCTTTCCCTGAGGTGTATAATTGGATTCTTCAGTCACATATCTCAAAATATACACCACCAACTGAGTTGGAAAAATGTAGCATTGCTAAGTTTAAATGCAATAATTCTATGCATTCAAATAAAATATTACACTGAGAAGATATATTATCTTACTATGCCAGAAAGCCACTTTAGTGTTTCAGACAACAAATGGCTCATGGTACATTTTCTGCTCCAACATATTTCAGAACTGAATAAAAATAAAAGGTGTAATTTTGATTGTTATCACTAACAATTTGCTTCTTTTTATGACACATTTTAGATTTTCTTAATGTGGGCGATTTAATTTCACAAAGAAAGCATGTTTTAGCTTAGTGTCTGGGTCTGCCTTATCTATCATGTTTCTGCAGTTATGAAAATGAACA